AAAATTGTTTCAATTATATTTGTTTAAATCTTTGTAAGCCGCCTTGCATCCCAATTTTGGGAAAAGGCAGGATACAAATGAATCAGTAATAGCAACAGAGTGAATTGATCTTGGAGGCCAAGAAGCCTCTGAAAACTCTGTGACCAAAAAGGAGAAACTGTTTTTAATCTCAGTCAGGCCATCAAACAATATTCTTGTACAAAGTGTACTAATTTAATTTATACAGCATTTGGGAAAAGAAGCCAAATTGGTGTCACACATTTGCTTTTATCAATGAGAACATCGTGTACAAGAATATTGCCAGGGGGGCTGATTCAGGTTTAACAGTTTTTCATTCTTGGTCAAAAGACTCTTAAAAACTTCTTGGCCTCAGAGGTTGATCCATTCTTATTGTAAATGAAGCATAAACTGCTGATCTGTATAAAACTATGCTTTGATGATTTGATGATTGCAAAGTATTAAACGCTTAACTGGGACATGTCTCATTGTTCTGAGTCCTATCATTAGTCCTAACCAGAGCAGAGCCATTTCATCAATGTGATTTGTCTAAATGTTGATTTACAATTCAGCTATAGATTTAGTAGGTTTACTGTAGTGGAGTTAAGCCAACAGGATCCAAACCATTGATGTAAATGAGTATGGCCATTGAAGGGCATATATCAGGATTGGAGCCTCCTTGTTTTAGGATTTTGACCGGTGCTAAATGACAGAAAAAACTCGGACTGACTCTTTTACACTCATCACTCTATGCTTTCATCAACTTAATCCCATTTTATCAAACTTATTTTTGATCAAGTTTTATCATTTTAATTTATTTTAGTTAACTATCACAGGAGTTTAACATAGTAATTTTTGTCTCTTTGTGTGTGTATTTTTGTTTTTGTCTTTTATTGTTGATATGGTGATATAAACAGATCTATCTATCTATTTAGTAAAATCTCCCAATGTGCAATGAGAAGATTTTTATTCTCCTACATCTGCTTCCCTTTGGAAAGTAGTACCGTAAAAACCGGGGTACTAGACAACTTTTTAGGCATGTAAATCCTTATAAAATTTTGGGGGTCATCTAGTACCCCGGGTATAAAAATAAAATAATAAAAAAAATATCGGTAGAGCSTCTTGGGGTGGATGCCTTGGCTATGGGCTCCCCTCCTCCTCCTCCTCCTCCTCCTCCTCCTCCTCCTCCGCTGCCTTGGCACATGGCAGCCTCCTGGTCAGGCTCCCTGTCGCTCATTTTCTGGCTTCCACAGGCAGGTCTCGTGAGAAGCACCTCTTCTCCCACGAGACACCGTTGTCTCGYGGGAGAAGAGGCACYTCTCGTGAGACYTCCCGGGGAAGAACGAGAACGGCCTGCGCAGAAGGGCTTTCTGCCCTGGTCAGGCCRCTCACCTTCTTCCTGTCCAGGTCTCGCAAGAAGGACAGGAAGAAGGACAGGAGCAGCCTGACCAGGGCGGAAAGCCCTTCTGCGCAGGCCATTCTCGTTCTTCCCGGGCAGGTCTCGCGAGAAGTGCCTCTTCTCCTGCGAGACAACGGTGTCTCGCAGGAGAAGAGGCGCTTCTCGCAAGACCTGCCTGTGGAAGCCAGGAAGAGATGAGCGACAGGGAGCCTGACCAGGAGGCTGCCATGTGCCAAGGCAGCGGAGGAGGAGGAGGCGGAGGAGGAGCGCCGGAGGCCCTTCTTTCAGTCCAGGCTGGTGAGAAGCGCTAGATTGGGGAGCCGTCTTAAACGGCGAATATATCCTCAACTGTGTATTTTTGTTATTAAAGTTGGGGGGTCGTCTTATAACCCCAGTCGTGTTTTACCCCAGAACATATGGTAAATCAAGTTACTTAGGAGTACTTTTCTACTAGGTGCTACAGTACCATAAAAACAAAGTAATTACAATTCTAATCAAATCAACTACTTTGTTTCTAATAAACTATTATCCCAATAGTGGAACTTTACTCACTGATGCCTATGAATCCAAAGGGGAAATAAGAGGAAATAAGAAACAAAACGAAGTTCAAAACATTAGTCATGCGTATTCTAAATAACTTCAAGGACAACAATTAGAAAAATAAAATTTGAAAATGCTATGTGCGTTTCAGGGAAATCAGAAAGTTATAAGCAACAGATGTCCTTTTTACAGTTTACATCTAGAAATATCACATAATTATGTATATTGAAACTTTATGGTGAAGAACTTATTAAAATGGTAAGCACATTATTTTGCAGATGGTACGGTACAGGAAACTACTTCCTTAAAATAGTAAGGAGAAGAAATAGTGTTAATAAGTCAGTTTAGACTAGATGGCAGCAGTCTTTGCCAGGTCATGTACCTGTATCCTTCCTCAATCCATACATTCATCCACCTACCCACACATCATAGCTTTCTACATATCAATTATGTTTTCTTTAAATTTGCCTTTTTGAAGTACACACACACATTTGAAATGGAAAATCATTTAGCCCAGACTAGATGAGCAAAATCTTTGCCAGCTCATGCAAATATATCCATCATCAATCAATCAAATAATTACACTTATTATTCACGACTTCCATTAATTCTGTTGGGTCAGAAAGTCCAAATCTACTGCTTCAAATCACTGTGCATGTGAAAGAGGAAACTTCCTGTGTGAGGGTGGTAGACCACCACATCTCAAGGCGGTGGGGGAAAGGGATCTCATCTAGGAATTCCATCAGTCACAGCCTGGGAATTTACAGCAGAACACACTAGGTAAGCCGGACTGCATGTGTGAGTGTGTGAAGGCTGAAGACTAGGCTACAGTTTGAATATTGTTCAAGTGCCTCCACAATATCAATCTGCCTGGAGTGAATAGAACCTTCAAAGGCTTGGCCCCAGAGCTAGTTCCATAATCTGAGCAGGTTGCTTGCGAGAGAAACAATACAGGATCCGGTTGTTGTGTCTGAGTTTCTCTCGTCTTTAGATGTATCTCTGACTATATCCTAGTTTACATAGGCAGCTCTGGAGCCTTCCAAATTTGACCAGATCTCTCTTTCTGTTTCCTGGGCTAATTTACAGATTCACTCACTTTCAATTCATAATAGCTGGAGCCAGAATGGGGAAATATATTTCTTTGGCCAACGACTCCCACCCCCAAACACAACATCTGTAGCCCTCAAACTCTCCTGAAAGCTCTCATAAATACAATTTCCTTTAAATAATAACACAATCTGAAAATATATTTTGCTTAAAGGACCCCTAAATGCCTAGAAACAATAACAATGTACCATATACTTCCCACCGTGTGAAAATATCACTTGATTTGGCTGTACCCACTGAGATGTTCTGTGAGACCAGAAAGCCCTGTTAGCAACCAGTTATGCTTTGTCAAAGGCTTTCATGGCTGGAATAATGGTTTTGTAGGTTTTTTTGGGCTATATGGCCATGTTCTAGAGCAGGGGCCCCCAAACTAAGGCCATCCAAGATCATTTACCGGCCCTCGCTCAGGGTCAACCTAAGTCTGAAATGACTTGAAAGCATACAATAACAACGACAATCCTATCTCATCAGCCAAAAGCAGGTCCACATTTCGCATTGAAATACTAATAAGTTTATATTTATTAAAATTGTTCTTCATTTTAACTATTGTATTGTTTTAAAGTGTTTTTGCACTACAAATAAGATATGTGCAGTGTGCATAGGAATTCATTCATGGTTTTTAAAATTATAATCCGGCCCTCCAACAGTTTGAGGGACTGCGACCTGGTCCTCTGTTTAAAAAGTTTGTGGACCCCTGTTCTAGAGGCATTATCTCCTGACATTTTGCCTGAATGTATGGCAAGCATCCTCAGAGGTTGTGAGGTCTGACCTCATAACCTCTGAAGATGCTTGCCATACATTCAGGCGAAACATCAGGAGAGAATGCCTCTAGAACATGGCCATATAGCCTGAAAAAAACCCTAGAAAACCCAACCTGTTATGCTGTTTATATACTTGTGTGTTTATGTACATTTGAAACTTTCCCTCTCCTTCAAAGCTATACTGTTGCTGGGCTAATTGGGAGGGTGTGGCTTTAAATAGGCTGTCACAGAAAACAGATAGAGAAGTTTAATATTTGATATCCAGACCCTTCAGGGGTCTGAGGCTATTGACTAAACACTCACCTGAGGTGGCTTTCATCAGGTGAGTTGAAGACGGATGCCATAAGTTTGCAGGGGAGCCTGAGTTTGGTTATTTTGAATGAGGCTTCCCCGATTTAGTTATTTGCATCATTATACTGATTTGGTTCCAAAGAGAACAACTTTGCACCCCAGATAGCTGAGGGGTAGGCAGACAGGGACGCTACTTTGGCGTCGCCACCAAGTTCAAGTGATACCAAATTAGGGACCAGTCAAAGTTAACAGGTAACAATTAATAAAGTTGACCATATTTAATCCATTCACTTGTGTGGTCTCATTATTTCGGGGGTCGGAGGACAAACAAACATATCCACAAAGCAATGTGTGGTAGAACAGTAATCTTACATGTGGGACACATTTTTTTTAGATTCAGATTGGTGGACTCACTTTCATTAGATGTTTGTAAGCAGAAACTAAAAGGACACCTATCAGAAATGTTATAACATAAGACACCTTTGAGGTTTCTTGCACAATCTGCGTTTCTGACCAAACTTTAAATATCCCCTTCCCCATATTTCATTCACATGAAAAAGGCAAAAAACAAAATGCACACATTCTGCTTGTATAAAATAACATTCATGTCCAAAAAACATATAGAGTTTGTTTTTGTTGCTCTTATTACCCAAATCTACAGTCTTCTGATTTCTGTAGACCATACAGGCACCCCCCCCCCCCCCGAATAAAACCATTACTTTGCATGCGGTGCTTCAGACCATATGATTGATGTTTAGGAGACTATTAATTGTCTGTTAATTATCTTCTGTTCCTGAAGCAAATATTTTAATTTACATAGCAATAAGAGCTGCAATCTCTGAAGGGCCAGAATTAGATCATGAGTTTACTAGCATTTTAAATTTCAAACCTCATTGAGAACTTACATGGTGCTGTCACCGAGTTCTTCATACAGATTATTGGCAGGAGCGCTTGCTGGTTTGCCAACTGGTAAGGCCATCTGGATCCGAGCTGTCTTAGCACATTCAGCCTGTCTCCTTTGGTGAATTGTACAGGGAAGAAATGAAGAGTGTTAAAAAAAATCCTTGCTCAGACTAACACTAGGCTGGTAACAAATTGTCAATGGAAAGGATATTTAATATCTCATAATTGCTTACAATAATAAAACCATGATTTTAATACATCACAACAAATATACAACAGAAAAGATCAGAATTCTTACTTGATTCCATTTAATTCAGTCACACCCCACTCTTTCCATACAAATAAAATACAAATGAAATAAATACCTAAAGAACCTAAATATGAATGTGAAATATATCTTATTTTCAGTAGAACTCATTTCTAAGTTCTTAATCCTTAAGAAAAGATACTGCATCTGTTTTACAGAGCAGAAGACTAGATTATTTCAGCATGTACTCTTGCCCTAATTGTCTAAGAATAATACACTGAGATTTAATTATAATGTGATTACTAGGGGTGTGCAAAACTTTGTTTTTAATTAGTAAGTCATATCTAATTTGTAAGTTTTGTATATCTGAAAAGATATTAAGAATCATAGGAAGGCGGGACGCTCATGCTAAAACTTAAGAATCAAAACTCACCCAATACTTTTTCATTTGAATTCTGTAATGCTCAGAAACTTATCAGTTTCATTATCAGTGCAAGTGAGAGAAACCAAAAAGGCTGCCATTCCTCTTTAAATTAAAGGCCTCTCGCTATGAGGAGAGGAAAGCAGGTGAGTGGGACGAGCTGAGTGAGCTGGGAAAGAGACTGAGAGAGCACTGAATTCTGGGAAATGTAGTTTGGAAGATGAGGAGCCTATGGCAGAGAATTCAAAAGGCCTTGCTCTGAACTACATTTCCCAGAATTCTGCTCAGCACCAGAAAGCCCCAATTAGGACAGATGAGAGATTTTTACCTCCTAGCAGCAGCCAGAGCTCCAATAAATTGTTGAATCTGCAAAGAGGAGAACTGACTGATACTTTAATACAAGTAAGTAAATCTTTGCTTGGATGGGAAGAAATTTGTGAGGGATTCCTCATTTTCAGAAGAGGAAGGAGAGCAGGGAAGTGCTCAGAAATTGAAGGTAGAAAAAGAATCAGACAATGAGGTTTTGAAAGTGCCCACATTTCTAGAGAGACAAAAAGACAGAGCACAGATGGCGTTCAGCTAGAATAGCTGCTAAAAACACTGAGCTAATTGGGAGACGCCCTAGCACCTCCTGTGTGGGGAATTCAGGGCTATAAATCAGTAGCAGGAGTAGTCAGCTTTCGCTGGTAACAACGGCCTTGATACTGCTGTTTTCACTCCAATGGAATCTATTTTGTATCTGCTGCTAAAGACTTAGTTCATAGCCCATTGTCTGATGGAAGACTGGTGTTTCATTTGGGACTTTGTAAGAGACTTTTATTTGTGTCTTGATTAAGTCTTCCTTGTTTTGTTTTTTTTGCACTTTTCAATTGCATTTGCTTATCCTTTGTGTTTGCTGAAGTAAAGCATTTTTCTTTTACTTTCAACATTGTCTAAAGGCAGTTTTTGAAGGGCAACTCAAGACAAAATTCTAAATAGAAGTTATACTGCTAAATATGAGAGACATTCAATGAGATAGCTGTGGTGGCTTTTAAAATATTGTCAAAACTTTTTTAAAAATTACAAAATCAGTAGATGTATGAATATTTCTGAAACTTGAGGGGGGGGGTGATTCCTTGTTATCTTGTGTCATTGTATAGAAAATTCAAGGAGATAGATGTTTAAGTTTTTTAAAAAAATGTTGTTTGTGCACAATTTTAAAATTTCCCAAAACTCCAGTGAAACTGGCTGGACTAACAGTGGTAAATGTATTCCATAATTGTAACAAGTTTCATGCCAATAGCACTAACAATGAGGGGAAAAGGCACCCCTGAAATGTCCCTATTTGAACAATTAATTACTTAATGAAAAGCAACGAAAAAGTAGTTAACTTGTTATAATTACAATACAGACCTTGTCCAATTTCAGAAACATTTTGAAACAATTCCCCCCCCCACACACTTCTTAATTTCGTAATTAGTATTGAGACTTTTTTTCATTGATTGCACATGTTTAGTGATTACATTTTATAATGTGGTTATATTATGCAATGTATTCATCTATCTGTCATTCATGTTCACTTCCCTAAGTAACTGTTCACATCATCCACATACACACACACACGTTCCCTAGAGAAGACAGCATATATGATTTAGCTGCTGTCATATGCTATAAATTCAACTAAATAGCTATACAATTATTCTACCTCTTTCAAAATCTGGGCTTATTATGATGTAAGTCATTTTAATAGTTTGACACAATTGTTTCCCCAAAGAAACACTTCAATAGATATTAAATCCTAAGCAAGGAGGCCTCTGTTAGCAGAATGTACCTCTTTTCAGTCTCCATTCACTATGGCACACAAGTTGCTTAAATGAATGTTGGCCTTGGTAGGTTACTTGCCACTTTGGTAAGGTTAACAGATCTAAGCTGTCAGTTCAGTTCTAATTCACTAAACTTGCCTTTGAAGAAACATCAAGGTTTTATCTAACATCTCAGGACATATATACTACTGGCAATATATGCATTTATTGTGAACATTGTATTTTCCCTTCCAAAATATTCCCAAGCAAAACCTTCCTTCAGTCACTGCCTTTTACATGCAAGGTGTTTGACATACTTACTCTTTAAATCTGTTTTGTAAAGCGTAATGGTAAAACAGAAAAAAAGTTGTGAGTAATTCAGAACTGTGATTTAAAAATAAACTTCAAAAGGGATTAAAGTCAATCACATCATTAATCAGGCGATACATTTAAAAATGATTCCTTTATATTACTTATAAAAGTCATTTATGGTACACATAAACACAAAAAAAGCTTTCCTTTCTTCACAGAGGAGACAAAATGAAAAGAGAAAACATATAGATTGTTCTTTAATATTATCCCATGAGAATGCATGCACATTTAACACATTAAAACAGTTCTGGAGTACAATACTTTACTTGTAACAATTCCTCATTTGAAGAGCTCAATCCAAGTGAAGTTTAAAGGTTTTGTTTCATGTCAGGAGTGACTTGAGAAACTGCAAGTTGCTTCTGGTGTGAGAGAATTAACCGTCGGCAAGGACGTTGCCCAGGGGACATACATATGTTTGATGTTTTGCCATCCTTGCAGGAGGCTTCTTTCACGTCCCCGCAAGGGGAGCTGGAGCTGACAGAGAGAGCTCAACCTGCTCTCCTCAGATCTGAACCTCTGACCTGTCGGTCAGCAGTCCTGCCAGCACAAGTGGTGCCACCGAGGGAGTTTAAAGGTACAGAGCTATGAAAGAAAGCATCGACTTTGATTTGGCCCATCACATTTCAGCATCTGGTCAACTAACAGCATATTTCTATCCAAACGGTAGTAATTGTTTATATATTCTTTACATATAAGTAGTGGGAAATGCAAATTTTGTGCTTTTATTTCCCCAAAGTAAAGTAATGCCTTTTGATTTTTTTGGAGGGGGGGGGGGAATAAACCAAGAATAGCCAACTTGGAAGACCCTGAACAGACTCAGAAGTGGAGATGGCAGATCAAAAGACAACCTGGCAAAATGGCATTACCTAGAAGAATTCTCCACCTTGTGTGACTGTGAAGCAGAACAAACAACTCTGCATCTGTATGCTTAGCCACAATGCTCTGCCTCATGCACAGAGGGAGAATTGTTGAAAACTACAGACAATGCAGTTGCTATTGCCCGTTTTTGGTCTAAAACTATGTAGCAGCTTTGTTTTATCAGTTTTGGACAAACTATTTTATTAGTTTTAGATAACCATTTTATGCAATGCTTTTGACACAAAATAAATACATTTTCCCAAAGTAATGCATTTCCGCTTTTTGGTGATCTGTAAGAGGCCACCACAGAACTGGTGCAGAGTCCTAGGGTCAATAAGGATGGGAAAAGCTCCAAAATGCCTACAAAGTTCTTATGCTTTACACAGAGAAGCAGAGCATTTGATAACTGCAAATGCAATGGTGAGTTATTTCGTTTCTCCCACATAGTTTTTATAATCACACTCTAAGATAATCAATGCAAATCAATTGTAAAAAAATGAACACTCAATAGGAATGTTTAAAAATAGTTATATAAATCTGAGTTATCATTTTAAAAGTTAGGAGACCAGGTGATAAGTAATCCTTATAATTTTTTCTTGAATTTAAATTATACATGGAATATTACAAATAATAATAATAATAATAATAATAATAATAAGGCACTCTAGGTTTTGAGATCTATTATCTGGTCATTAATTAATAATCTTTTGTTCGTAATTACATTCTACTTTGGAATAATAATAATAATAATAATAATAATAATAATAGTAATAATTTATTTATATACTGCCCTATATCCCTGAGGGGACTCAGGGCGGTTAAATTTTGGAATTATTATCAAAATTTCAAAAACACCACTTAATATAAAAGAGCAGTGATAATTTATTGGATTATCTACATGCAAAATCTGAGCAGAACCACAATTCTAATTTACATTGGAAGTAAACCATGAAAAATCCATTTAATTTTTCTATTTTTTAAACATGCAAAAAGTAATAGTCAATGATTAAGCTGATCAGTAGTGTGGGAAGTATTGCTATTACACATAAGAAAGTTTTAATATAAATAAGACTTAATGTTTTCATTTTACGTACACTAATAATGCTCATTCGACTGTAAGCATTGTGAATTGATATATATGAAGCCCTGCATTTTAAAAACTGCATTGTATAGTTTTCAAAATCTTTCTTGCAGTGGGAAAAATTGTGGAATTGACTCTTTTACAAGAACAAAATCAGTGAAAAATTTAATCCCTAGTTCTATCGTACTTTAAAACTAGGTGTGTTTTAAAGTAATTAAAAACGACTATTTTAGTTATTTAATTACATAAGAGTTGCATACTCAAAATTGTTGTTATGAAGTAGATTTTTGGTACCATGAGTCGCCGATTGGCTGAAAAAGGCGGTATACAAATACAGTAAATAAATAAATAAATAAATAAATAAATAAATAAATAAATGACTCTAATGAAATATGCATTACATTGAACTTTTCAGCTGCTGCTATGGACTAGCTCAGTTTGCCTAGTCAGGAAGGTACGTCTTGAAATGTGTATCTTAGGAAAAAACCTGGAAATAGAAAATGCAACTAACCCTGATACCGCAAAGGTTCTTCTTATTTCACAGTGCTATGTAACCTAATGACACAATAAAACAAAAGTGGCACACTTACTGTCTGTAGCTGACTATAACTATTAAAATGGCAGGCATGCAGCAAAGGATGATGATGACAGCCAGAGCCAGCAAGGCCCCCTCTGTGTAGCCCACAGCTTGTGCCTGCTTCTTGACATTGGCCACGACGTCAGGAGTGCGGATTTCCAAAATGCGTCCTCCTTGCCCAAGATACGGCTGAAATTCTTTATTGATATCTAGAAGCTTGCCATCCAGGAATCTTTAGCATTAAATAAAGAATAAAAAAAGATAACAAATGCAGAGAACAAGATCAAAATGTTCCATCTCCATATTTTGACTTTGAACATTTTTTAAAATTTCATCGTTTGCTAATTAGAGGTTGAGTATCCCTTATCTGGAAATCTGAAATGGTCCAGAATCATCCACATGGGTGGCTGAGGGCCCATCCAGGCATGCCCAAAAGCCAGACCCTGTCTCGGTTTTGCCAAAGGCATCCTAACAATGCCTCTGGTAAAACTCAATTAATTTGGAACAATTTCTCTGGTTTGTTCTGAATTAATTAGATAATTAATTGTGCTGTTAGGGTGGTCAGGTCCAGCCTTTTTCCCGAATCTCGATGACTGCGAGGCATAACCCAGTGTCAAGGTAATGTCACATTTCTCTCTCTCACACACACACAAACATACACATGTGCTGTTGTAGGGTTTTATCAATCTTATTCTGTGCATTTGGCCTGCCCACCATGCTTTTATTTTATTTCTTCATCACATTATTTTGCATCTGTTTATTTCATTTTCTGTTATTTTATGTATTTTATTTTGATATTATTATTTGCTATTTGTATTTTTCTGGGCTTGGCCTCATGTTAGCCACCCCGAGTCCCCTTTGGGGAGATGGTGGCGGGGTATAAATAAAGATGATGATAATGATGATGATGATAATGATGATTATTATTATTTACTGGAAGGCCTGGGTATAATGGGATATTGGGCCTGTGGGAATTCACTTCCAGGTAGTCCCAGAACCACCCGGGGGTGAGTCCCCATTTGCCATTCCAAATCTTTTGGCTTCCGGGAGCCCAAATTTTCAGGATGGCACCCAACCCCTCTCCCAGCCCCCCATTTCACTCTAAAAATAAAATAAAACTTACTTAGCCGTCATAACATTCCTCCTCACACCTTCCTAATGCAAGGAAATGACATGCTAGGAGATGGGGGGGGGGGTGAGCAGGGATTTTCCTTCTTGTCCCTCCACTGCACGGGTCTCCTGGCACATCATTTCCTTGCACCAGGAGGGCCTAGGGGTGGCTGCATGCCATTCCAATTCTAATCAGGATGGCATGTAGCCACCTCTGTGGAAAAATGCATTGCGGGGGGGGGGGGGGGGGGGGGGGGGGGGGGGGAGGGAAGTGGGGATGGTAATTCATGACAAAACAGGATTTAAAAACCTGCTTTGGGCTGTCTGCAAGCACCCTGAGATAGTGATACCTTTACTTTCTAATAGTTCAATATACCCAAATTTTGTTTCATGTAAAATATTAAAAAAATATTGTATACAAAAATACCTTCAGGCTATGTGTATACAATTTATAAGAAACATTTGTATTTACGTTTGGGTCCCAACTCCAAAATGTCTCATCATGTATATGCAAATATTTCAAAATCTAAACAAAACCCCAAATTCTAAATACTTCTGGCTCCAAGCATAAGGGGTACTCAACCTGTATTAAAATACATAAACAATTTTGTTTTTCCCAGCTTCTCTCCCCGCCCCCCCCCCCCGATTTTATATAATTTTCTTCTTTCTTTGACACCTATGAATCTCATTAGGTATCACAGCCATTTAAAGTAATGAATTCCAGTGATCCACTGGACTTTTGTTCACAGGTATGGAATCTGTAATGTTAGACATGGTGACACCATAACAAAATCATGTGTAATGTTAGCATGGTGACACCATAACAAAATCACGTGGATTCCTAATGGTTAATAAAACAGTAGTGAGAACAAAAAAATGAATTCTAAACTAGAGTCAGGAAACAGGAGCTACCTATGGATCAAAAAACACCCAAATAAGGCAACCATGATTTTTTTAAAAAAAGGGAGACATTATCCTATATTCAAAAGAACTATCTCAACATTTCAAAGTACAGGAGAAGTCTAAATATACTGAAAGACATAAAACCGATCCAGTTTTGTAGACATTCATTTTTTAGAAAGCTCAAATTATTACTGTACTTCCTCAACTATATTACCACTGAAAAAATTCAATTATAACATAAAAAGAAAGCTTCTAAATGCATGTCAGATACTGCACACTAGATGATGCTCACGTATGCTAGATGTCATTTGTACTGATTAAACATGTGAAGGTATTTCACTTTGCCAGCATATAATTTTGGGTGTAATAATGCCTTGGTTAAAAATTCTGAAATAATTTTCTCTACAAAGCTCTATTTTAAGGTTTTTATAGCTCAAGCATGCATATTACATTCCAGATGAACTTGGCATATTGTACAAAATGAGACAGGGGAACTTTTTGTCATTTAAATATGAATCATTTTAGAGACAGTATGCAAAAGATGTCACCCCTCCCTTTTTGTTCTAATAACGAATAATAGGGTTTTTGAAATATATATTTGTCTTGATACTGGTAACAAAATAGTGATAGAGCGTGCACTGGGAATAAGACCAGAAATAATGTACATCTTTAGGTCAAACTCACAATTATATTATTAATCCTAAACACTGAAAGATTCTGCACACTGACTTGAGGGTTGAGATGTGAAATCAGTGGGACTTTGTGTTATGTTGGTATGGAGTTACCAGTCAAGAACAGATAAAAATATGAGCATTTACTCCAAATAAACCCTTCAAGTAACGGGTTGTACAAATAATCACCCAATGCCAATATCACAGATTAATGATATAGTAATGCATGTAACCAACATTATGGAGATTTTAAAGTACAGCACACATCTTTAACGGCGCTCCGTGCAGTCATGCCAGCCACATGACCTTGGAGGTGTCTACTTACAAGGCCAGCTCTTCGGCTTAGAAATGGAGATGAGCACCAACCCCCAGAGTTGGACACGACTGGACTTAATGTCAGGGGACAACCTTTACCTTTATCTACACATCTGTTAGCCTAAATCAGACAGCTCCAGTAGAAGCACCATTTCTAAGCTTTACATGTATTTATATTTATTTATTTATTTACTTAATTTTTATCCTTCTTTTCTCCTGATATAGGAACTCAAGATGGCAAACAATAAATATAAAACAATGCTAATGAAAACAACACCAAGTCTTTACAATATACACATGAAAAAGAAAGCAATTTCTATAATTAAACCGTTAAACATTAAACATTAAAATGCATTAAGATTTTACACCCACTCAAATACCGAATTATATCATCCCCAGAATTCCATCCCTTTTCAGTCCATAAATGCCCGATAGGAGAAAGGAGTGAACATGGAAGTATGCTCTTCATATTTCCTTCATATCCTCCAAAATCAAAGGCAGTTACAGAATCTAGTGAATTTCTGCCCAAATGTAACTATGCCCTTTTGGTATCATTCTACAAGGCATGCAAATGATTGTGTCCATGGACCATGGTTTGCCTAATACCAGATGGTAGAATAATAGGAGCACCTGAAGAAAGAAGGAAAAATGCAAGCACAAAGCTCATTTACACTAATTTAGCATTTTGTCTGCACCAAACTATTGCGTGTTAAAGTGCAATGGGTGGCAAAAAGCATCAAGAACAAAATTTGAGAATATTCTATTTATTTAAAAGTAATTTGCTTTCCAAATAAGGACATGTTCATTCTGGCACATGTAGAACAATGTGAAGCCTCCAAGACCTAGCTTTATGTTTTTAATGTTGTTCCCAGATTTGAACATGCCATGAAATTCCTGCTCAACAGATCATGGGAACTAAAATATAAAATATAGTGAATTGCAGTCTAAGCAAGTGCTGGTGACTCTGTAATTGAGAGAGAGAATGAGAGAGATTTCCAGAGAAAATTCCTTATCATGATTTAGCATGGGAAAAAAAGAGTATCAGGTTCTATTTTCTAAACATTTCTGAGAAAAATATCTTTCTACATTTTTGAAATAAAATTGTGATACATAACTGTCAAATCCAGATACCACTAATAAAATGCTTTGTGGAAATACAATGAGCTTTTCTTTCACCATATGAACTGAGGTTCCCTTCCTTCCGTTCATTGTATACCTTAATCACTACAACAATTCATTTATTTTATTTTATTTTATTTTTTATTTTATTTTTATCCAGCCTTTTATTTAGCTATATTGTAATGTGCCTTGAGCCATGAAGAGAGACGGTTAAGAAATAATAATAATAGTAATAATAATAATAATAATAATTCCTGATGTAGAGACATTTTATGATGGCCTCACTGTAACACTGTAGCCCTAAATGGCTTGGGTCCAGCCTATTTGACTAATTGCATCTTCTCCTATAAACCAACCTGGGAACTGTGGTCAGCAGAGGAGGCCCTGCTCTCAGTCCCACCCCCATCTCAAGCATAGCTGGTGGGAACGAGAGAAAGGGCCTTCTCCATGATCGCCCCCATCTCTGAAACTCCTTCTCTAAAGAAATAAAGCTGTCCCCCTCCTCTCCTATAAAAAAACCCCCTGAAAACCTATTTTTGCTCATTAGCATACAGAGCAGGATTAGATGTTGAGAGATGGCTACTATACCTCTAACTGAACACTATTATTGTATTCGGGTTTGGTCAGATCATGTTAGCCCAGTTAACATCACTGGCCACATAATCAATATCTTAGTGAACCTTCATTGGCTTCTGTAAATTAATGTGGATGTTTTATGTTTACGTTTTATGTCAGATATGCTTTTTTGATATGTTACATTTTATTTAATTTATAGATGTCATGTTATACATTGTTTTAACGCATGGGGTTATACGAGGGGTATTTTTTAAGTAAGGTCCGTTTGAACATAAGTACACAACGAAAGTTTATTTCAAAAAAGTAAATTTATTTTCAGAAAGTACATACTTCACTCTATTTTTTGACATAGTTGCCAAGTTTGTTTAAACACTTATCATACCTCTGAACCAATTTTAAAATACCCTCTTCATAAAAACTTGCCGCCTGCTCCGATAACCAAGAGTTCACTGTAATCAAAGAAGGGTGACCGGAGCGGTCCTCATCATGGACGTTGTCACGGCCATCTTTGAATTGTCGTACCCACTTACGCACTTTG